AGTTCTGTTTGAGTGAAAAATTTGGCAAGTTTTGTGGAAATTTGTGTTCGCGTTGGATAAAATTGAATAGGAATCTATCTGACTTTTTAAAAGGTAACGAAAATTGGTTAAATTTAAATTTTGTTATTCTTCATGAATTAAATTTTGACCTTCTTTCATCTTCTTCGTCATCATTAGCTTCCACTAACGTTCCATCGCGTTCTCAGTCTTTTAATGTGTTATCTGATAGGCAAAAGTGAAGAAAAACTCAAGAGTTAAGAGAAGCTCCGGATGATATGTTTTTATATTCCATGAAAAAAAGATTTAAATCTGATGATAATTTCTTCTTTACGGTGAAAAATGACCAGTTTAAAAAAGAATTATCACCTGATGCTCTATAAGTTAATTTGTCGATAAATTAATTTTTTCTACTTTTTTTTTTTAATATTTTACTAAACCAATATACTTATAGATAATTAATTTTTTTTGTAATATATAATTATGTACAAACATAATTAGTAAAATTATCTAATTATAATATTTTGAATAAAAATTTGTATGGATTTGTTCATGTTTTTTTATCATGTTAATTGAATGGTATCTACTCTTATACGGAAAAGGGGGGTTTTGGTTTACCGAAAAACCCCGTAACCCTTTTATACGGTTGCTCCTATCAATACAAGTGACCTAAGTAAAAGTTGCTGGAAATAGGGTGTGGAATCAATATGCGACGTCAAATCATAGGGTTCCAATTTGAAAAAATAAAAAAATAAAACTTCTGGGCCACCCTGTTCATCAAAATTAAAATCTGAATACAGAAATCGATTCATCGTTAAAAAATAATGGGGTTTATGTTTAACTTTTTTTGTACGGCCAACAGTCTGGCCATAAAACTTCAATGTCCAATGATTTGGCGCTTCGCCCCAGTATGCGACGCAGAGAAGCTTCTGGACACTAGAGCTTGGCAGACCCTTGCACAAGACAAAGAGGAATAGATGCGGCGAAGACCCGTACCGGGTTGTAGTGCCTGTGATGATGATGATGATGATGATGATGATGATGATGTCTCCGAAATGAGAGTTAACTAAACTTTTTGAACGTTAAATTATTTTTTTTTAAACCAAAATAAAAATACAAATTTAATAGTCTCAATTCGGAATCGCTTCCAGTCATCCAATACCTCTACCGATTCAAGTCAAAACCCAAATCATCGAGCTTCAGCACAATGCTTCCATTTAGGTTTCATTCATCCTCTCGGATGTTTGCCTGTTGGTTTAGTGGTAATCAACTTTTTATAAAGAAATTCCTTAATGATTTGTGAAGCAAATATCCGTATTTCTATCGGACAAAAGTCGGTTTTCCCAAACAGTATATATGTAGGGAAAACTTAGCTAAAACTAAAACCGAACTATGGATGAAACAGCTCATGTGCCATGTAATGTGATCCTGTATGAGGCAAATCAGTTAATATTTAAGGAATAAATTGTAAATAACTGTAATTGTAAATAACCTACTGAAAGTTAATTGTAAGTGATTAGTTTTGGCGGGAATAGGCGAATAGCCTTCCGCTTTTATATCGGGGATTGAGGTTATTTACACTCGTGAATTATTAAAACAAAACCCCGGCACAGGATGTAGACTTTTTTTGATGGTGTTGAACTGCCGGTGGGAATTCGGGAATCTAATACCTTTTATGACACTGTGTGAGAAGAAACAATACATATATGAAATGTGGGACTTAGTAAAGACTTTGAATGAATTGACTCACATGGTTTATTCTTCAATTGTGAGGCCTATAGGACAACTAAATAAAATAACTATTCACTCCTGTCTAACAAAGCAATTTATTTTAACAACTGATATAAGTGAATATATTAAAGTCTAATAACTGTAGGCTTGATATTCTTAGTCTTCAATGTAGTAAGCCTCTCTTCTCAGATGAAGTCTTCTTGTGTTGGTGTCCAGGCCTCAAGTGTTTGGCGTCTTCTTCGCCATCTGTTGCTACCTGATCGGACCTTTTTTATTCTTTTCGATTGTTTGTTATTCTTATCGATATGAGATTTTCCAATGAGCAATTTTTCCACTGCACAATTGAGTACAATTCACAGTGCAACCTCACATTTCTATATATTATATATTCCACCCTCACCCCATGTCGTCTAAAGGAGTAAATACAGGGGAATGTCTTCTACAATATATATGTAGAAAAAAAACAGCTAAAACTAAAACCGAACACCGGATGAAACAACTCATGTGCCATATAATGTAATCCTGTATGAGGCAAATCAGTTAATATTTAAGGAATAAATTATTACTTTTATAACAAAAATTGAGTTCGTCAATGCACGTTTCCGTTTTGATTTTGGGGTTCAAAAGATCTATTAATATTTAATAATTATGTCTTGTGAAGGCAATGTTTGAGTGTTTATCATAACGTGAAACAGCTTATTTAAAACAAGAGATTGTAAATGACAATTTTCGATAAAGCATTTGATCTTCTTCTCATTGGCCTCTAGTAACTTCTATGATACATATGATTTTTAACAATATCTTCAATATGATAAATATATTGTTATTATACTTCATAGATAAATATTCTAGAAACTTCCAGATTGAACGTATTTTCAAGTAGAGATCTCTTGGAAATAACGAATAATGGCATTATTTTCCCAGTTTAGATAGAATTGAAATTTCTTGAGAATGTCCTCTTCGACGAAGACTTTTTTTATGTTCCCAAAGAGAATAGATGATTTCTTTCTGGACAAAGAGAGATTAAAACTTTCGTTGAAGAAGAGCAGAGGAAAGCGTTGGAAATATTTAAGTTTTTTGCTGTAAAAAGAAAAATACGAATTCTTAATTACATAAAAGAAATGCACAGTCATCTATTGTTAATTATAAAACTAAACACAGCGAAAAGCGCGTCATAAAAACCAAAAAAAAATAATATATATATATATAACCTTATCAAAAAAACAGCCCCGGTCCAAAATGTTCAGCGTTAATTGCTTCTTTCCAATTTTAACATTATTATATTTTCAAATGGATGTGGTTGGTTTGATAATGTAATATTACGTATGCTATTGTTTATGAGATTCTGAGTTTAAAAAAAAAGCTGGATTACCATGTGCCACACATTATATTACAGAAAGTATTCCCAACAATTTATGTACTTTGTTAGTGTATGCCAAAAGAATTATTAAAAATGAAGTAAGATGTGGACTCATCATAAAATTTAAAACAGAATCCGGTTTCGAAATAAAAAGTTGGAGTATGTACAATACCAATAGCAAACTAAATTTCGAATATTACAACCAAAAAAATACTATTGGCCGGCTGGATCCACAAAATATTCCGTTAGTGCAAGGTGGGTTCGATCAACCTTACATCAACACAACTTCATTAGTCAGAATAGTCCAATATTCCGAATTGACGATAAAAATAATACAATAATATTAAAGTAAGTTTTGGTCAGAATAAGAGAAAAAAGAGATATAGAGCTTGAGACAAAATTCGAATGGAAGGTGCCCACTTGCTTAGTCGAATTTTAAGCAGCTTCTTTAGCTCTTACGAATGTAAAAACGTTCTTCTCTTGGGTATTTTCCATAAATCCTTCATCACCATTGCTGGATGATGATGAAGATGATGATGATTCTCATTCCAATCACTATAACCGATGGGAAAAAGGAAACAATATGCCCTTGCGAGAAATCCTTCACCTCGACAAGGCAATAGGGACTGTTCTCCAATAGTCAAACTAAATGAAAATAACTGATTTCTTTTCTAAAAAATCAAATATTTCTAAACATACCAGTTCAACATTTTCGAGGGAGAAAACACACATGTATCCAGTTAATAAAGTTGTATTTATTGAATTAAATTGTTTGATTATAAGTACTTTTACTGAACACCCTCTATAATCCTAATGTCCCATTGCAGGATTAGTTCGAATTATTGAGATTGCACTGAGTTAGTGGAAGTTTAAGAAACATATATACACGATAAACGTTCAGAATAGTCCAATAATCCGAATTGACGATGAAAATATTACAATAATATTAACGTAAGTTTTGGTCAGAATAAGAGATAGAGACAAATTTCAAACGAATGGTGCCCATTAGCTAAGTCAAATTTTATGGAGTTTCTTCAGCTCTTACGAATGTACAATCGTTCTTCTATTGGGTATTTTCCGAAAATCCTTCATCTCCATTGCTGGATGATGATGAAGATGATGATGATTCTTATTCCAATCGCTATAACCGATGAGAAAAAGAAAACAATATGCCCTTGTGATATATCCTCCACCTCGACAAGGCGAGAAGTAATGGGGACTGTTCTCCAATAGTCAAAACAAACACAAATAACTGATTTCTTTTTTAATAATCAATTGTTTCTAAACATACCAGTTCAACATTTTTGAGAGAGAATACACATATGTATCCAGTTAATAAAGTTGTATTTATTGAGTTAAATTGTTTTATCATAAGTACTTTTCTTGAACACCCTCTGTAATCAGAATGTCTCCTTGCAGGATTAGTTCGGATTATTGATATTGCACTGAGTTAGTGGAAGTTTAAGAAACATATATAAATGATAAACGTTCAGAAATATCTGGTTTGCTGTGCACCAACTTGAAAGAAAGGCAGTTATAATGAACTTTGGCAAAATCAAGTTCCATCCTCAAGGCGTTTGACTGGGAAGTAAATCATCCTTGTTTGACCCGCTTCGGTTTGCAACAAACCAAACCTACCCAGACCTTGAAAGGCATTAGGACGTTGGCATGTGCCATTATCGGATTTATTCATAGGTTGAGGGTGTTCATTCCACGTGTGTTCTTCACGGCGAGTCAGGCCTTTCGCTACAGCCCTTATTATATTAAACCAGGAGTTGGCGGGTCCTCCACAGACAGAGAGAGCTAGAGAGAGTGAGCGAGAGAGAGAGAGTATATGCATAACTGGCGTTACCGAATCAAGCTGAGAAAGCGTTAAAACTAGTCAGGTGGAGCGATCGGGGGTGCATTATAAATGTGGCCCCCTAGCAACGGGAGGCTAGTCATGCTGCGGCTACTGTTTCTAACACTGTTCTGTGCTCTCGCCCTCGACACCGGCTCCTCACAACCACAACTCATAGGTTATATTTAAATTTTGATATATTTACATTCTTACTCTTTGTGTAATGGCAATGTATTAATATAACTTAGCGTACATTGTCAAAACTATTGTGTCTAAGAGGTCAGTGTGTGAAAAAAATATTAAGTGGATGGACAGTCATACTGGATTCTCTTCATTAATTTTGTTCAGTTAGAACTATCGATGTAAAATCAACTTACTCCTTAAAATCAATTTTATGTCGATAGTAATCACAAAATTGTTTAAAGGAACAAAAAAAAAATATTTTTCAATAGTCAAATACCGTGGTTTTTAAAATCCTGCTTAATTTTTGTCGAGTCAGTCATATGATCCCATTGAGGGAGAAATAACTCATGAGTCAGTATTTTGAAGACTTGGGTGTTTTCAATGACAGCTCTTATAAGGCGGAGTGATGTAGAGTGTACCTCCAGGTTGGAAAATATGTGGAAAATCAAATGACTTCTACTGAAGGATCGAGAAGTCCACCATCATCCCGGCTTAGGATAATATCAACTTGAACTAAGTATACCTTATCTGGTAAATAGTTTTTTCTTTTTTTATGTAAATTTTGTTTTTGCTCAAAGCAGCTTTCATTGCTTCATATTTCCATATAAAAATGGATCGCGGAAGAGCAACAAGAAGAAAAAAAAAAACGGAAGTGTTAGCGAAAGAAGACGTTCGCGGAAAACTTGATTCATATTATTTTTGTGTAGTGTTATTATTAAGTTTATTTAATTTTCGGCTCAATGCAAAAATATCTTTTAAGAGTGTTTAGTTTATATATTGCTGATTTTCCAAGCATTATATTTCACTCTATCAGTAATAATTTTGTTTTTGGGTTTAATACCATAATAATTTTCTTTTTTTTAGTAAATGCAAACAAAAATCCTTAATTGCTAAATAAACTTAGTTTACAGTTTAAACTTAGTTTGATTACTTCCAAATTATAATGTAGTGAAACTTGGGAAGAGGCTTCAGCTTAAACAGAATTGCTGATTATTTTTCAAATTAAATTTGAAATATTAATTATATATATATATATATATATATATATATATATATATATATATATATATATATATATATATATATATATATAATTAATGATAGATACGTTAACTGTCTGTTTTAAATAGTTTGGAACAAGACAATAAACACAGAGAGATTTACTTATTTTTATTAAAGAGGATTTTCATTCAAATATTTAGGTGGTGCGCTAAATTTTATCAGGAGTATATTTGATATTTAAATACCTTTTTCGAAATAAAATCACTATTGATAGATAGATAAATCACAGTAGATATTGTTTTTACAACCTCTTGGCGATAAACGTTTAAAGAACGATAATTAATCGATTTAGAGCTCGAGTTCATTCGTCAACAAACTCCAATAAGAGTTCGTTTGGTTTTTTGAACATTTATTATTGTAATTTTTTTTCCTTTTGGCTTTTCAGGCCCGGCTTTATTACTACTGTAAATTTGATTTAAATCCAATTTAGAGAAAAACATCTTCGGATTGTTCAGCCTATTTTATTATTGAAAAAGTTTTAGCATAACATTGTTTAGTGCGTTTAAAGGATAGTTATGGAAATAGCCACTGTTAGCAAGTTAGTTTCAGATTATTCACATGTTATAATCCTGAAAAATATTATAAATACGATAGATCTCAATCTCCTTAGTAAGTTTTCTTTCACAGTAGAAAAGAAGGAGCTCTAAGCTCAGGCAAACTTTAAGGATGTTTATCAAGTACATTTTGCTTCAAGGAAGGAGCGAGATTTACGTGTTGGGCTAGAGGTCATCTAGAGAAGAAACATTGGACTCATATTTGATGCTAATATATTACCATTGACATAAAATACTACTGTGTTGTCGATAATACTAATAATACCGAATAAACTTTGTATTTTATGCACAGATGCACAGAAGAAAAAGTTTAAATATTTGATTTAATTTTAAAATATACCTATGATTTTCAAAGAGGAAATGTTTGCTAGATAAAAAAAAAATACTAGTTTTTAAAATATTATAATTATTAATGGCTGCACCATAAGTTTGAATCTTTGACGAGTTTATTTTAATTGATCGTGAATATTTTTCTTTTGGTGAGTGTGTACAGGTGGATCTACGTGGGGAGGGGGGCTTTCGGGCTGAAACCCCCTCCCCCAAAAATGGTAAAATATAATCATTCTTTATGGAAATAAATTATCTCTTAAAGTATTATTGTACGTGTAATTACACTTAATAGGACTTGAAGAATGACTTAAATACCGTTTCGTATACGTAGTTAGTTTCTTTCCTTTTTTTTTCCCAAAGAATTATCGTTATATTTGAAAAAAAAAAACTTTCAAGAGGGGCTGAAGCAAAATGGACCCGCTAGTATGCCCGTGTAAGTTAAGTTACTTTACGTTAATAACAGTTATCATGAATTAAATAATTATAGAGACCATAAATTACTTATTTGGAACAATTTGATAAATTAACTAATTACTGCAATGGTTAAATAGTGTTGTGTAGTATACGTAAGTGTATAGTATGGATGGATGGATAACAGTTACTCACTTCATTAAACTGGTAATGGTATATTTATCCATTACGTTTAGCAGTTTTTAAAACTTTATCTTGATATTTAAATTAATAAAATAACACTATATTTTTCTTTTGTAAAGTACAGCATGAGCAAATAAACAAAATACAAACACACCATCCGTTTAGGTTTAACTGTAAATTGATTTTTCAGTATAAATTAATGATATGAAATGGATGAACTAGCTGAACCAGTGTAGTTTTTTTACCACCTTATTTTTTTTATTAAATTATTTTATTATTTTTCATTGAGGTGAGCATTTAGAGTAGGATTATTCAGATTGAACCAGTAATGTCACTTATGCTGAATAGATTTACTTCACGTATTCTAAATATATTTATATGTCACAATAATACATCTTTTTTAATAAAAAGGTACTTACATTTTGCATGTTAGAAATAATAGTTTTTCATACTAAACATTAAATTGTTTAAAAAAATATATTACGTCAATTCAAATTTTATAAATAAAATATTTAATAAATCACTACTTATATCCTGTAGAGGGAGAATTATATGCGAATGGCACAGCAGTAGATTGAAGTTGAAAAGTAGGACTCCGAATATATTTATTATTATGATATATTATTTTATTATGATATAATAATTATTCCCTTTACTTATTTTATTTATTATATATTTTAGTTACGGCAAGGTAGAAATACAGTATTTCATTTTCAAAACAATATTTCGAAAATAATTACCAAAATGATACTACGCAGTTTAAAACCGACTATCCAATATCCAACTTAACAATATGATCAATATTTTTAATAGTACTGTTAACGATAATTAAAAATTCTGGAATTTTAACGTCTTTTGTTTCAGTTTCTAAGTTGAAACTATCAATCGTTTAAAAAATGTGATTTATTTCGTTAACGTAATATTAACGTTTATATGTAAAATAAACAATCATTGAAGTTAGAAATTGAACAAATAACAAATGTAGAGATCATAAAGTATAGGTAATCCAAGTCTTGATAAAATTATAATGGATAGAAAATAAATCTCACTCTCCTATAGAAAATAAATTGATAAATAAAAAATAAACCGATGAAAATATGCAATATTTCCTCTCCTCCCCCCCCCCAAAAATTAACTTATTGTTTAAAAAGGAGAATAAAGGAATCAGTAACTATATCCAAGAATACAATTTAAGCCTCTCTTTAACGAGACAATTTTACTATGTATGTTCCTTGTAAGCTTTGTATATCTTGTATAAAGTTATTTCACGTTATGTATAGAAATAAGTCTTTTCTTAAGGAACTGAAAAGATCTTATGCCATTCGAACCTAAAAAAAATAAGTCTAATAAATAAAAAATAAATTGACAGACAGGATGTTTTGGGTCACATATTGTTTTAATTAATTTCACATTTATAAATTATTTTTATTTATTTATATTTTTTTTAATTTGAGACATAATGAGAAATTTTATTACTAGCTTCATTAGGTTCTAACTATTATTTTTTCCTAAATGCAATATAAAATGATTTTCAATATTTAATTTTATGCGATTCAGTCATTTGTCATAAATATAAAATTTTCATTATCAGTTATATAAACTGATTTTTTTATTTATTTATTTTTTATCAGAACGAAAGTAATGAAATTGATACCCGAAAAAAATTCTGAAAAATTAAAAAAAAAATTAACTATATTATTTTTATTTTAAATATCTAATAAATTAAAAATTAGTAAAATTTTCCAATAACCGCTCATGAAAAAAATACCACAAAAATTTCAATCAGTGACCCAAAGTGTTATTTAATCAATTAATATATAAATCGTTTGAATACATTTTTCAAAAAATATTGAGCTGAAGGAATACTTCGAGATGAATTTTGGGGAAATAAAAACCGTCTAAGACATTTTTGGAACATCTTGGTCGATTTATGTCAATATTTGGCTTTAAAAAACGTAACTTTTTAGCTTTGTTTTTTCCTAAAAGTATATACATTTCTTCTTGAACGAATTGAGAAAATCTCATTCCTTCGCATCGGCGAAAATTCACAGTAGACGAAATACAATTGTTTCAATACTTTCCAAACGACCAGCCGTAGAAAATAATATTTACTTACAATTAGACAAAGTGCTTTTTTTTTTTCTTTGCCAATTTCACAACAACAATTAGGAAAGCTACGTAAGGAAATGTCTCGGATGATTGGTCTCTACCCGGTAAAGAGGAAAAAAAAGTTCCCCAGCACTTTCTAACTTCTACTAAACTCTGCAAGTTTAATTACTTGCAAATAAATGCTCCGTGAAGAAATAATTTTCTGTGTTAAACTGTTTACGAATCATGGGAATTGATTTTTTTTTTTTCTAACCACCCCAGATCAGGTAAATGAACGATTCAATGCATTAGGATTTCAAAGGAGGTGTATAAAAAAAAAACAACGACCATTTTGAAGAAAAACACCTACTCGTAGTTTGGTTATAAGTCAGCATATGGATATTGAAAACAAAAATAAAAATCCAATAATAAAAAATAATAATAATGTTCATTCATTACTGAACATTAAAACTTTGTAAAATAAAATATGGGAGAATGAAATCATCAAATGACCTAAAGGTGCTTTTTAGAATCAAACCGATACCATAATCGTTGAAAACTTCAGTGTTTATATACTATGAACTACAATCAGAAATATCATACGATGATGCCGAATGTCTTAAGTCATACTATATATTTTTTCAATTAATTAATTACAGCTAAACTAAATTCTTTTTAAATATTCCTCCAAAAAACGCTGAATAAAAGACCATTTTCGTATGAACTAATATCATCCATCGTGATTTTCCAAACTAACCCATTATTTTATAAGGAGTAAGAGGGCCCTTTAAATTATTTTCTCTCTTGAGACATATAAATCTAGTTTAACATTTGAATCCAGAAATCCCTTTCCTTTAGAGATTTAAGATAGAATCGTTCCGTATCCCAAAGCATGACTTGTGTGTAAGTTTTGAAAATTATTCCGAAAATAAATATAATAAAGTTTTTTTTGACAGCTATTCAATAACTAAATTTTTTCCATACAAACATTTTTTTAACCACTTTTTATAATATTTCTACTTGCATCTATAGATGGTTTTGAGTTAATATAATTAAATTTAGAAATAAATTATAACTATATACAATATATGTACAATTTAAAAAGAGTAGAACAAATAATTAATATATGACGTAATATTAATAAACTAATTGATTTTAATGATATTTTTCTATACGTTTATACCTAATTTTCAATAATATTTTTATTTTGTAGTACTAATTAAAAAAATCATTATAATATTTAACTAATACCTTTTTAAATTTTTAACTTATTTAATTTTGGACGTTTGATTTTTAATAAAATTACCAATACCTCGGCTACTCCAGGAAAAGAGATATGAACATTTCAATATAGTTTAATATTATTATCAAAACGAATTATATAATTTGATCTAAAGGATATGGTAAATCATTATAATTTTTCAAGAAGTTAATTTTGATTTATTCACAGTAAAATCTGTTTTTATTTCGTAATAATTCAAGAACAGCTATTGTTTGGCTATTGGTATACTTGGTATTTTAAAATGTCGCGTCTCACTATTTAGTCGTATTTATAAATAACTCATATTTTATTAAAATAATTTATATTATTTCTTTATTTTTAAATGAATTGTGTGTTATAAATAAAATAACTGGCGTATCCATTCCGTTTAGTACAAAGCTGATAAATGAAAAAATAAAATTAATTTATCCACCTAATTGAATAGATATATTGATTTATTTTTATTAATTCGATTTCTGAGTAGAGTTTTAAAGAAAAACATTTTTTTTTTTCCAAAAATCATAGACAGGGCCAAATATAATTTTAACGGATTAGGAGAGAAATCATCAAATCGGAGAGAATCAATATCAGTAAAATTAAATTTATCAAAACATATTTCTGATCTTACAATTATTCTTTTACCTGACAGGATATCAAAGGTGCGTCACTGAAAAGGAAATAGAAATTTCATGGTAGCCAAAACACAAAAAAAAATTAACTTTCATCAAGTGCAAGTTTCGGGGCCACAACAGAACATCAATCACGTAGGATTTTAAGTTTAATGGTGTCTATTTCCGACTGACGCAGCTGGCAATATTTCAAACAATGTAAACAGATCGGACAGTTATACAACCTTGTCGAGGAGAGAAAACATTGACAACACCTCGTAATTTATTATGAGAATTTTACTTTAAGTCAGTTTTATAATTTCCAGGACCTCGTCTGCGTAAGTAATCGACCTACTATAGAAGGTATCGAAAAAGGGACTTACAAGGATCATGATGCCTCCACTATTGTCCCTTCCTCTAAGGCTGTTCTTCTTTGATGTTTATGATAAATGTATCAATGCATATAAACAACGAAATATTTCATATTACGCATTGTTCTAAAAATTGTATTAATTAATTTAACAAGAATGATATAAACCTAATGAAATACTAGCCAGAATTCAATCGGTTGATCGGAAATCATTTCCGGGCGAAACTGTGTTTATAATTTGATTAGGATCTGTACTTTATTCCAGTACAATGAAATAAGTGTTAATGGTAATTTGTTAATAGATTTTTATTTGTTCTCAGATGTGGTTGACTTAGTCGGGTCGGCAACACACCATGATCACCACTTCGAGAAGGGAGGAGGTCATGAACATCATGGTGAACACTATGCTGAAGGCGGACACAAAGGTGACAAAGGTTATCTACACAAGCATCACTTTGACAAAGGGGATCATGGGAAACACGGCAAGGACGAACACAGCGGATACTACCAAGACCACATGGGCCACAAAAAGAAATATCACGACGAAGGAGACGAGTATGGAGCCCATCACAAAGGAGAGAAAGGACACAAGACAGCGAAATTCGGCAAGAAAGGCGGACACAAGAAAGGACACAAGACCAAGGGCTATCATAACAAATTCCATAAGGACGAATTCCACAAGGAACACAAATTCTACGACGACTATCACAAAGGTGGCCATCACACCAAACACGGCGACTTCCACGGTGAACATGGCAAGAAGGAAGGACATCACAAAAAGGGCAGCCATCACAAATCTGCATACCACGACGACCATCATGGCAAGAAAGGTCACCACGACAAAGGGCACTACGTCGATGAACACAAGGGTTTCAAGGGACAGCATGGCCACGAGGAACATCATGCACACAAAGAAAACTACGGCAAAAAGGGAGGCCACAAGGAAGGCAAGAAGTATGGCTACACCAGTGGACATCACTGACATATTTATTTTGTACTGTTTTACAATGTTTTATTCCACCGTTTTTTACTCAAGATCGAATGTATGTTATGTATAAATCATTTTGAAAAGTGAAGTTTCATTTCCTTTATTTTCTAGATTAAATTTCATTTCATAATCACCTTATTTCTAAGCAATCATTATATTCTATAACTAAAGCGATATATCTATGACACAATTTAGGTTGTTTGAAAGCTGAATTGAAGTTGATTGAAAGGTATACATATTTGGTTTACTTCAAAAAATGTTAAATGTTTTTTATTCTTGCCATTCGTAAGTATCACTTCCATTCATTCGCATGATTTGTTAATTCTCCTCCCCCCCCCCCCCGGCCAATTTCAAACTCGCAGAAAACGAGACTGTGAATGAGATTATTTACTCATGAGTAAGTAGATTTCTCCTCCTACATTCATATCATTCATTGATTCTATCCACTAATTGAAACCCACTACAAACCTGTTTACAGAAATACACGACGTATGACCGATTATAAAAAAAGTTTAATTATAGAGGACTAGAGATTCAATTACCTGACAATCAAGCTTGTTTGAACGGGTATTATCTACAACAATCCCATTGGTCAGAATCATTTTCCTCTAATGATCTCTTCCTCTATTTTGATTTACACAGATGCACTTTATCAATGGCTTATGCACTATCACCGAAATTACAGTCACACAGGGCAGGTGTGAACTTCCTTTCCTTTAGCATTATGTTTTGTTCAAATAGAATGGGATAACTTCCTCCCACGCTGGCGTTGAATTGCAACATTTTTAGCTCAAAAATAGATATGATATTCACATTTATCGTATATATTTTTATTCAATCAAATACATAATCCATTGACAGGTAATTATTAATATGTTTTTGAAGAAGCTTTTATTTATTTGTGTTTACAAAACGGCGGATTATATCAAAAATAAAACAACTACTTTTTTTCAGACTGATTTTATAATCATCACTAATTAAAACAACTAGTATTTCTACTTCAAACATTTTTTTTTAATAGTCATTTTACAGAACTACATGTATATTTTTTTAAATGAAAAATTAAAAAAATTTATTTTCTCTACGAGAACATTGGGAGGATTTTGTGTTGGAGTTTGTCTCCTACAAACAGAAACAAAACAATACATTATATTTCTTTGTATCTGTTTTCTTATTTAATCATTACAAAGGCAAAACTGAACAGTAATAAACATTTGGCCAACAAATTTTCCGCTTCACGCCAAAATAAATAGACATGGTACTGCAAGAACGGTACTTATATATTTATGTTGTATACGAGTGGAAAAAAAAAAAAAAAAACTAGAGAGTCTACGCCATTATGGAGTACCAGACTTTTCACTGTTTCTTGCTCATCCCTTTTAAAGAATTATCAATACATTTAAGATCAGCACCTCATTTATAGTCATTTGTACCAAGTACTTATGAAAATGCATTAGTTTTCAAAATAGCCTTTAGTAAAAAAAATAATCAATAATTAGTGGCATGAAGTATCTTAACTAAAATTACATGAAAATGAAAGAATCAAGTTTGTTAATGCACTACCGTAACCTACTTATCGCCATGGCCAATTATTTTCTTCCCCTGAGTAGCTTCAGTAAGAAGTTGATGAACATGTGTCTGTGCCGATCTCGTGACTTTTTAACGACGATTCATGATCCTGTCAATGACTCGAAAAAAAATTGATGAGTTTATTATAAATTTCATAATGAATTAAAAAATAAATCAAAGTTTTAAAAAAGAGTTGACAGCACTAATATTGTTCGTGAGTTAGTTTTTAAGCCTAATATTATATTACATAGTATATTGAATAATAATATAATATAACAAGCTATGATATATTATATTTTCTATATCATCTACATTATAATATTCCAACACCTGTTCTCTGCACAAAGATTAAAATATGCAGGCAGTTGCGGCTTTAGGGATACCGATTCGGAAGAGCTTTCGCAACTAGTTTTACAAAATTACCAAAGCATATGGGATAAATTAATTACAGTCTACCATTAAAGCTACTGAATTAGAGGCGAATCGAATGAAATGCAAATATGAAGTAATAACAGATGAAAACATGGCATCATGTTCTTAGGGCGCCAAATTTCTAAGGCCGGTACCGTATGCAAGAAGTATGAAAGGAATGTATGACATGAATTGCGAAAATATAATAAAGGCAAGGTTATAATTTTTACCGGCACCCAAACCTCGATTGAACCCAAGCAACGAATACTTGGCGCTGGGTAGAGACGGTATTGTCTGCCAGTGACAGATTTAGTGATCGGTTCCAGTTCGGAGGTTGTTGCCTTTCATAGCGCAATGTTATGCCTCAATTGTTTGGTTGCATGAGCGGTCCTTTGCAAGGAGCCATTAGGAAACAGTTCACGGCTCTTGAAAAAACATTTGTCACTCATTGAAAACATGATAATCTCTCAGATTAGTTACCCGTTTTAGGTGAAGGTTACAGTAACATCGAAAATGAGATACGTAAAGAAGCTCTCAATAAAAAAAAAAAAAACAGAATCTATTTTTTATTCCCTGTACTTCAATTAATAATGATGGTTGAGGATAAGCAAAATGGGGGGAGTGAATAGGTCTCGTTGGTATTAGCAGATACTTAGGATTCAATTTCGGAAAGTTGAATTTCCAACTTTTGTTTGAATTTGTTTTGTTTTTTTACTACCATAATTACACTGGAAGAAAAAGAAAAAAAAAACTACTATATGATAACTACAATAACTATATGAACTGAATTTTAAGTATTTCTTGAAGGAAAAAAAAGATAATAACATGAACCATAAGCAATAAATTTCTTATAAACAGAATGCCCGTAAGTAGTGGGAAATTTTTAAAGAAATAATAGCAGACCTCACAAACCTTAGAAAAAAGTTCATACAAACAATGGGCCAATTTTCAGCAAAAAAGCGAGGAATCCAAGTGTTGTGTATTTTTAAATAAGTCGTGTTTTGTGTTGAATAGGAAGCGATAGCTAAAGAAATATTTAAGTTAAGTAATAAAAATAATAGTAACAATTTCTTTACTGTAAACAATAAAAAAATTAGTTCAAATGAAAATTGAGTTTGCCATTGTGAACACCATTTAAAGACGACTAATGAGCGGGTAAGGTAAGACTGTTCTACATATCATGGATGATAAATATTCAGGATGCAGTCATTATAAAGTTTTTAATTAGTACCGACGTTTCAACTCAAACATATGGGTCATCATCAGGGCGTGGTTCGAGCACTGAAGGTATACAAGTACTCAAAATACTTGAATACATACTAAGAAGTTAGTTAGCTAAGACGTTTTCCTAAAAGTGGGGTATATGTAGTATAGTAGGTACTCTACTAGGTAAGTACTCAGAGTACTTGAATACCTTCAGCGCTCGAAATACGCCCCGATGATGACCCACATGTTTTGGTTGAAACGTCGGCACAAATAAAAACTTTATAATGACTGCTTCCTGAATATTTATCACCCATAAGGTAAGTTCTGTTTTTAACATATAAGTTTTTCACGATTTTTTTTTTTATCATCATCCAACTATACTACATATACCCCACTTTTAGGAAAACTTCTTAGCTATAAGTATGTATTAATTGATTAGAGGTTTATTGGGGAAAATTTTGAGATTCGCCTCAAGTTGTATTAAAAATGTCATTTTTTATTCTGTCAAGTAAAAGTATTCCTGTATTCAGAAAAAAAAAAAAAATGACTAGAACTGATTGTTGCAAATCTATTATTTCTTGTTTTTTCATGATCTGGGATGTCATAACACCGTCGAAATTTGTCCCCCTCAAAAATTTAAAAACCCGTCAAAATGGGGTTTCATATTCCTTATATATATACTCCTTGTGGATTATATTAGTGATTAATATGATTTCCCGGTTTGGAAGAAGCAAACTGTTAAGCTGATTCTGGAGTTAAAGAAAGCACTATATAGTAATAATAATATCAATTAAAGTTAACGTTATAATATAAGATATTTTACCTCTCTTTGGCAGAAATGGCAGCCAGCATATGAGTATTTCGTTTTAAAATGACATCTGAGACAAAGCCAAGAAGCTCATCCTCAAAGCTGCCTTCATTCATCCTCAAATAATTGATGAATGATGATTGGCCATGCTCTGTGAGCTCATTCTGTACCATATTTAAAACTCCTTGTCATTCTTGACGACGCGAGAACCAACTTTTCGTTCTTCGACCTTAGCTTTCTCATATTTTCTTAAAACAGAGCAAGCTAAGGTAGAATTAGAAAAATCGTTGATTGTATATAAATACACTAGTTATGGTCAGTTCCACGTGTTACCCTTGTCCATTAGTCAGAAAATTTAAAAACCCGCCAAAATATGTCCCCCTCAAAAATATAATTGGCGCGACATGAGACATGAAGTCCCCTTCTGTGGATCCCTGTCTGCAGTCCAGTTGGAAAAAATTACGAATCATCCATGATTTTAGGAAAGATTAGTCGCTTGAAAGTCCATTTATTTATTAATGGTTTTAACCAACAGAAACTCTAGTCCATTTAAAGAAAACATTGTCCAGTTTACTATGTATCAATTTTTATTTACCTAAAAATTAATTTTAGTTATTCGACGAAATACTTACTTAAAAAAAATACAAATCTTTAATTTCCTTTTTTTCTCAGAATAATCGGACCATAATTTACATGTGCTTTTCTGTGGCTCTTATGATCTACTATCGCATCTTTAAATCTTTCCCTTTCTTTACGGGAAATTCTGGTATTAAATAAAAGAAAAGGATTTTGCATATGGTACCATTGGTTCAAAGAAGAAAAGCTATAAAAATAAATGAGTGAAAACTAAAATTTCACAGATGTGTTGATATATATTTCTGTTTTGTAGAGAACTTCACTTTCATTGGATTCCTTCTCCATAAAAAAAGTTTTTAAAGATTTTCTATTGCTGAAAAAAGCCTGTCAGTCCACGATTGCAGTTATTCATTTAACAGGTGAGTGTAGCTGGTCAATTGTTCGTTCTCGCATAGCGTACTTAGTCTGTAATGCCGTGATGCGACTGGG